GCAGGAGGTGGCACAAAAGAAAACAAATGTGGCAATATTTAAATGAATTTAAATGTATAATAACAATGTGATTAGATTAATGCTTTAAATATAAAGTTTTGAATATAGAAATATTAAATTGAAACTGAACCTGCAATAAGGCAATAATGATTGGTTAATAACACTGTTCAAATACATAATGTAGGCTAATAGAAAATAAACAATTTGTGTACATTACATGTTATTACAAATGCCTGCAAATGAGCCAAAGACCTGGTAATTGCTGCTGCTACACTTACAGGACAATCAAATCCTTGTTTATGCTTTTGGCCAAACATTTAATTCAAATATCCACTTAATCTTTCATTTTTGGCCACCTTTTTGCTATAGATGACACAGCCTCTATCATTTCTTCAACAAAAAACATGTAGACATCACAACCCTTACAAAAATAAACCATGGTTTCATCGTAGTAAAACTGCTTAATTTTCTTTTGCGTTATTTCTGAATGCTTGAGACTATAAAACCAATTAGACAAATGTTTTAATAAAGTCATAGCCATAGGTAAGCTACAATTGTAATTTGTAAATAATACAATTTATTAACTTTCATATTCTATTTTGACCCCTATAGTAGGTGTGTTCCTCTTCAGGAACTCGAGCTGCGTCGAAAAACACTAGGGGAACGCCGTTCAGCGTGACGGGCTCTGAATCTCGTGTGTAATCAGACCAACAGTGTCTGCCTGGGAGCGGAGCATGCTGAGTCAGCTCTTGAGAGCGCTGACTGGCCGCATTGCGAGTGTCTTCCCATGCATGCTCTCCGCTCCCGAAGGGCACTCTTTGCGGAGGGTGCTTTCGCAAGCGGGCGAGTCCCTATCTTCTTCCTCACCCGCCAGATCCGGCGCTCGCTCACCGGGATCGGAAGCCCGTTCTGCGGTTACTTCCCCCCAGGGAGCGGGCTCGGCGCGCCGGATGTCTTCCTCCGAGGAGGTTGATGTGGTGGGCGTTGATGAGGATTCGCCCCCTCAAACTCCCCAGTATGAGGAGCTTTTAGAGGTGGTAACTCGTGCGGTGGCCAAGTTGAACATCGATTGGCCTGCCAAGAAAATGGCTGAGCCGCAGAAAAGTAAATTAGATGAGCG